AGCGGAGCTCATTATTATATAATACAGATTGTGCTTGAAAGTTGATGAATTCCTTCTCAATTCTTCCAATCTGGAGCCACCCATATTTTGCAATAACTAGATTGGCACCTCTACTCAAAGCATTTTCATCATTGATAGGTTGGTATTCCTCCTCTGTTGGCTTCTCATCAGAAAAGGTTCGTGGCCAGATTACAGAGTAATTCTCTTTGGGTTGAACTAAATAATAGTCTAGTTTTTTAAATCCATTTTTCACAGAAGAGATAGCAGACCTTTTTATACGTCCTTCTTTGGCCGATCCAAGGAGCCGAAGATTAAAGTGTGATTTGTAAAGTCCAATATTAATAAATTTGGAATAAGGTTCCCCAACTGATTCAATGACTTTTTCTACAAAACCTTTAAGGTCTCGATAATCAATAAATCGAGTATGGGGTAAATAATATACCAGCTACATTTCTCAGCATTTGATGAACTTGCCAAAACAAAGTTATTTAATAATACCATGCAACCCAATGTGGAATATAATGTATCTGCACAAGCAACTAAAATTCGAGATAACAAATCTTCTCGTATAATTTTTTTATTGTTTAAAGAAAATACTTTAGGATTTGTAGGGTCAGGCTTTTGCCTTGCATCAATATCAATAATCAAACGAAGAGGCTGGTTACCATCAATACATTCGTGAGTATCAGGTATTCTATAAACTTCACTAGGATGATCAATCACTGTATAACCTTTTCCTGCCATCTGAATTATATATTGAGAATGGATCTCTTCGGGCTGGTATGCCTCTAAAAGTGCTGTTTCGTTTTTATCAGAAGAGCTGACATGGCCATTAGATGTGAGCCAGTATTTATAAAATGTATGTTCTTTATGACCAGCTTTATAATCAAGATCCGTTAAACCTGTAAAAAGCTTTTTAGCCTCATTATATTCAATGGATTTTTGATTTAGGCACTGTTGTTGTAACGATTCATGCAAATGTTTTTTTGCTTCACTAGACAAACTCATTTGATTGATTTGTATATATACATTGTTTGATCTGACAAAAAGTATATGTTATTGAAACTATATTAATTGGTAGATAAATCTTTAAAATAAAATTAATTATTCCAGAAATTTTAGCTGGATGCCAAAAAAATTATATATTTGATTAAAATAATTATTATATATAATCACGATGATATTATACCATTGCTCATATATTCATAGAACTGGAGAAATCTGTGGTCAACGTAGTAAATCAGAAAGATGTTATATTCATCGTAATTCTCCAATACCTACTCCTTGTAGAGATTGTGGTAAGCCAAATAGATCTAAATATAATGCATGCAATAAACATGTGGGAAAATATAAAAGTAAAGAGAATTATGACAGAAAAAAGCAGAATGAATTATGTGCACAAATTACCAGGTTTAAGAATTATATATCTGACTTCTCTGATTCTATGCATGAAGTCTAATCATATATCTGGCATACGTATATATTGATTATTTTTTTCAGGACCTCTTATTTTGGAAAAATGGTACTTATGTGCCTAAGTAATGTTATAACCTCTTTGATGCCTTCTATATTTTTGGTAATTTGATTGTGTAAAGCTACGGATTCCAAGACTTTATTTCAGAAGAAATGACACTTTGTGCCTGATCGAACTTGTGTCTTGTTCGCGTCTATTTTTTGATAAGATTACTCAAACAGCAATCCATTCAATTTTGGGTATATATGTTGTGCGTCAGATCAATCCTTGCGTCAGATTAGATCTGGCCTAAATTAGATTAGGGTTAGGGTAAAATTATGGTAAAGTTAGAGGTTAGTTTAGGCTAGTTGTTGCCGATCATTTAATGCTGGTCAACTGATAGTCATCTGACGTGCGTCAGATTCAATTTGACGCAAGTTTTAATCTAACACACAACATATATACCAACTCATGATAATTAATTTTGATTTGAAAAAAGAATCTCCATAGTATATATCAGACGAAAATAGTCTATATAAAACATCTCAACCAACATATACAAACTATAACAAAAATCGCTACATCATTTGTAAATCGCTACAAATTGACTCCTCAAACTAGTTTACCACAGCTTAGTAGTTATGTCAAAGAGTTGGCTAGTAAACTTTCAAATGGCAAGACAAAAGAGCAGATCTGAAAAGCCAGAGATCAGGCCAAAAGACGCTTCCAAGAGTTGGGATTGAGTAAAGAACAAGCTGATACTCTTATTCCTATTAGAGCTCCTGGGAGACATGTTTATGAAAGAGATCCCATTAAAATTATTGCCCAAGATATTATAAAAAATAATCTCTCACCTGAAGAAATAAATAGAATAGCATATAACTTGGCTTCTTCTGCTCCTACTACTGTTGCAAGAAATTCTCGTCTTAATTTATTACGGAAAGAGTTGCATAGCTTAGAAGCTGATTATCTCATTACTGAGGCAACGAAAATACCTTTTATTACTGAAGAAGCAAATCAGATTCAAGCAAGAAAGTGTATACTCCGTGGAATTAATAGTTATGATTGTTCTGAGTTCTTTTATCTGGAAAAAGTTCAGGAAAGACTTAACGAATGTAATATTACCAAGCCTCTTTCAATGCAAAATCTAATAGACGTAATGATAATGCTATGTATGCGATCGGCAGATGTGGAAAATCTTCGTATCAACCGATACAAACCAAGTCACAAGTCATAGTATAATCCTGACCATTCTTGGTACTGTATTGGTTATGCAAAAAATAAAGGTGAGGTAGAAGAACCTCAACCATTCCTTTCAATAGAAAAAAATCCAATACGGGCAAGAGAATTACTTATCTGGATTCAGAGATCAATACCGGATAAATTTCCCTTCTTGTTAAAATATAAGAATGGGAATACTAATGTTGCATCTCTTAATCAATTCTTAAGTCGCCATAGAATTACCTTATATATGTTAAGAAAAATAGGTGCTGATCATGCTTCCAGAGTACATGGAGGTAAGAATGATACTGGCCGTCAATATTTACGGCAATTGGCATGTAGGCATAAGATAGGCCATGCTTCATCAGTTGAACATTATGGTGTGATGAATAACAGACCAATTGCTCCAACGACTAGAGAAAAAAATACTAAGATATCAGATATTATAGATCTATACAATTACTAATCATGCTTCTTTGCTTCAAAAACTTGTGTATATATTTCATTCTCGTCGATGCTAGAATATCTAAAAATGCACATCGTGGATTACAAATAATTTTATTTAGTAGTGGAGAATGGGTAATTATTTACCAAGTTATTTTTTCGGTTATAATATATATCATTAAATAATATTGCAGGAAGCGCGTTATTCTGGCTATAGAATAGAATGGGTAATCGGGTATTTGACAGCCTCCAGCTAATTTTAAACAAAGAATTTTTATTTGCTGTGATGTATATATATCTGTGATAATTTTCCTTGTTCT